TAGGACTATATTTTAAAATACAATTAATTTATTGTGTATACTTTCATGCATATGATTTTTATAATCAATGCTACATTGTGTTAATGCTTCCTAGTCAACATGTGTATCTCAAATTCATATGTTTTAATAGCTGCGTAAGTCTATTCTTAGATATTCTAAAATGTATTCAATGATTTTCTGAACAAAAGTTATTCTTTGTCTCCCCTCCCTTTATTTCCATTATAAACAATGTTGCAACAAATATTCTTGCACATACATTGCTTATTACTTGTATTTTTATTTTTTAGGTAGGATCACAGGAAGTAGATAGCATACCATTATTTTTCCAACTCTATGCTTTATTTTCAACCTTAACCTGTATGAAAGACCATTTTTTTCTTATTCTTAAACTCCAAAGCCTACTTAAATATTACAAACTATATTTAATTAAAAAAAAAATAATCTCCCAGTCTCAGAATTGCCAATGTACTTTGTAGAAATAATTACCCATATGCCATATTCCATATCCAGCACTTCCGTGAGAGCAAGAAACATGTGTAATATAATTTTATCTCTTCATACATGTTAACAGAGAGCTTTTCTTGTAGAATATAAAAATACAAATTGATTTCTTTATACCTACAATTTTTAAAATACTACTTGATCAGTTTTTAGGAAACATAAGAAATATACTGCCTTTAGAAAACTGTCTTGTTATATGCATCATAGGTTCTCTTACAATTCTCTTTAAGATTCTGGTAGCTTTTAATCAGATATTGGTGACTGACAAAAGAAATCTAGTAAGAGAGCTGGAAAGAGAGTCATATTCAAGTCCCTAGCCTTAGTTGTACAGCTATAAAATGAATTTATAACATTAAAATATATATTATTAGAATTATTTTAGGATATCATTATGTCTTTTCCCTTCCTTTTCTTAGACTTTATACTTTTGTTAGGCAAAGGATGAGAGAAGATGGATATTAGTAGAAACGATACTGGAAATAAATTAAAATTCTTCTCCAATATAAAAAGAAATCTTACTGGTCTTTATGATAGAGCATTGTCCTTCATCTTCACCAAAAGTCTACAATACAAAACCAGCCAATCCCTTGGGAGAATGTAGAAAGCTTGGGGGAAATTTAATTATATTTTATTTGCAGAAGGAATCAATATGGCAGTACCTTTCAAGTTCAATTCAATCACAAATGTGAAGAACAGATTTGCATTTACATCTAAGCAGAAGCACGGTGGATTAAAAAGATTTCAATATAATTTAGAAATCCCTTTTGTCAAAATAGGGCATTCATTGAATGCAATGACACCGAAGGCCATCCTTCCAATAAATTCCCCTATAAACGTTCCATAAAAAATTTAATATGGTACAGGTTAGGAAAAATATAGGTAATTAAATGTGTTACAGAGGCAGAAAGCAGACCCTGGGAAAGTAAAAGATTGTAATTAAGAGTTGAAAGAATAATTCTGAAATAAATAAATTATTTTAGGAAAATCTTATCAGTATGTTAATCACTTTAGTTCCCTTATCATGGGGAGAATCTTAACAGGCACTTGGGTCACTGGTAGCCAAACCCTTGCTGTTTTCAGATGCTAGGAGTTTCATAACAGACGGGCTCTAACCTCGATTAGTTTTATAATAAGAACACTGTTGCTTGTCAAGCTCCAATCTTTTTAATACACTAATGTCAGATGGAAACAAAATCGACTCCTGGATGGCAAGCAAGCAAGCTGCACTGGGATTGGGTAAGTCTAGAAACCATCGCCTGCAGCACAGAGATAAGCCGAGCTGAATTCTATGTGGTCTTTTGAGACTATATTATGTGAAATGAAGAATTTACAAGCAGAAACAGTAGCTAAAAATCTCATTATTAATGACTTTTGAGTAGCCATGGTTTCTGGTTTTTCATGCGTCTATAAAAGACTTAACAAAGACGGGAATGTGAGCACACACACACAAAATTATAGCAAATGAACAGAATC